AGAGAGAGAGAGAGAGAGAGAGAGAGAGAGAGAGAGAGAGAGAGAGACAGGAAGAAGGAGGGAGAGGCAGAGAGAGGGAAAAGGGGGAGAGAGGTGGAGAGGGAGGGAGAAAGAGAGAGGAAGAGGGAGGGAAAGAGGGAAAGAGAGGGAGGGAGAGAGGAAAAGAGAGAGAGATAGAGGGAGAGAGGGAGAGAGAGGAAGAGAAAGGAGAGGGAGAGAAAGAGAGGGAGAGAGAGAGGGATGGAGAGAGGGAGAGGGAGGGAGGGAGAGAGGGAGAGGAAGAAAGAGAGATGGGGAGAGGGAGAGGGAGAGGGAGAGAGGGAGACGGAGAGAGTTCAGGCCAACGTTAAAGATTATATCTTCTGATCTCTTTTATGGCTGATTTACTGTAACGATTACAATTAATTCAAACTAATTTACTACTGCAAAGGATAATTTAGATAATTCTTATGGGAAAGCCAGTGGGTCATATGAAGAGCAACTTATTTTAAAACATAAAAGACAAAAGTTTATCTAAGTCACCGCATAAGCCAAACTCTATGAATGGTCCAAAATATTTCAAACTGTGGATGCAGAAGCGATCCTGAACCCAGAGTAAGATCACGCTGCTGGCCACTGTTTAAGGACTTTGCTGTTGGGAACAAGACACCCCCCACCCCTAACTCCCCCACCAAGTTTGACACGTGGTAGCTCTTGCTGGGGAAACTGCCCCTCTCTACCCTGTGTTGACTCTTGCAAGAAGCATGGGGAGCAGACATCTGTGGTATCTTCTAGTCCCTCCTCAGTGCTGAGACCACACCTCATGAATGTGGCCTTTTGTTTGTTCGCCCCAAGCAGTTTGGAAAACAAAGTGTACTCTGTGCTCCTAGCCTCATGGCCATGACCACTCTTCACGTGGCTTCCGTTCTAGGCTTTCCACTGTGTGTGTTGTCTGTTCCCTTTAAACTCCTCTGCTGAAATCCTTTCTTGCAATGTAACAGGCTGAGGCCTCTGGGAGGTGCCTGGATCCAGGGGATGGAGGGAACCCTCATCAATGTGATCAAGGCCCAGTATAAAAGGAGCCCCAGAGAGCCGCTTTGCCTTTTTCATTGTGTGTGGACACAGCAAGAGGTTCGCCACCTATGAACTCATAAGCACATCTCAGGGGACACCCGGCCGGCTAATGCCCTGATCCTGGCCTCTCACCTCTGTGACTCCTTGCTAAGTTGGTAGGTCACCCAAGTGACAATACATCGAAGCCGTACCCAGGTGAGCTGAGACAGAGACATCATCTGTGGAGTTGAGTGGAATTCTTACGTGCGCAGTATGAGCCACCCCTCCCACCGACAGCTTTGTTTTGTTTGGCCAGATGGTAATAGGCAAGGTGGGAGTGTTTGCTAACAGACACCCTGACAGAGACCAAGGAAACGAATGTATACAAATCCATCTTGGTGACCCAATGAGATTATTGGTGACAGGAGCATGGAGGACTTAAAGGCAGCTAGATACATCATCAACCCCACCCCTACCCCCCCAGCCTGGGTGATGATACATCCCTGGGGCTTCCTGCCCAACTTGTAGGCAGCTCTACTGAAGAGTCCCCTCTTCCCCAGCAACTGTTTCCCTGCTTCTGTGACCTCAGGAGGCCCAGTGAGTCTAGTGGCTTTCTTGTGTCTCTCCTAAGCCTCTACCCAGGAGGAAATGCTTTAACCGGAGGGAAACAGATTCTTTATCATGTCATTCATCGAGCGGCTAGCCTCATGTTCACTCACTCCTTCAGATACACGTCCTGAGAGTCTAGTGACTGCTTTATATCATTTCTCGGATATACTTAGACTCTGATTTCCTAGCTACTTGTCTAATTTTAGTTCCCAATGGACTTTCCCAGCATGCACAGCTGTTCTCTGCATTCTCCCAGACTTTAGGAATAATCGTGTTCACCTCTTAGAATGAGGCAAGAAGATGGTAATAAAGACAAACAAGACAGGAGGTGCTGGTAAAACGGCTCAGTGGGTAAAGGGGCTTGCTGTTAAGCCTGAGTGCCCAAGTTCAATCCCAGGAATCCACATCATGGAAGGAGAGAACCAATTCCCAAATGTTGTCCCACAGTATGTGTGGACAGACTTATAGAAAGGATTTAAAATATACCTTATACACACATACAAAAACCGTGCAGCCATGTCAGAGGCCGCAGTGACACGAGATCTCGTGTTAACCTCATGATATAACGCACACTAGAACAGACACTAGAAGCCCCACGGTCTTTAAAAAATAATTCCAACACTTTAAAAGTTCAAAGTCTCTTTAAAAATATCTAAGCCTCTTAGCTGTGGCTTTCTACCAAATTCCAAATAAGTTACGCACTTGTCATTTTAGGCGAGAGGACCCAGGGCACAGTTAGCATCAGGGCAGAGAAAAAATCCAACTCCAACACTGTAAACAGTTCATCGTCCATCATCTGGGACCCTTGTGAAGTATGCTCTAAGTGGCTTAGCCAGTCTCAGCTCTAGGTTCTGTCACTGCAGCCAGATGGCCTGTCCTGCATACTCGGGTGAGCTCCACCCCACACCTGCCCCACTGTCTCTCAGTGTCTCTGAGTGACTCCGTTGTCTGGCATCTTCAATATTCTGGGCTCTCTCCTGCATCTAAGGCTTCACCCTTACTGGTGGTCTCTCTCACTGCCTAGCCTCAGTTTGTCTGTCTGTCTGTCTGTCTGTCTCCCTTTCTTTCTCCCTCTCCCTCCCCCTCCCTCTTGCTCTGAACCCCTCAGTCCTGAGGTCACCACAACTGAGGCTGTACCTTCACCAATCTTTTCTTTCTGGTCTCTTGTTTTAGGGCTGTGACCCTTTAAAACAGCTCCCTATGGTGTGGCGAACCCCCCTCCCAACCATAACGTCATTTCCATTGTTGCTTCATAACTGTCATTTTCCTACTGTTATGAACCATAATGTAAATATCTGTTTTCCAATGGTTATAAGGGACCCCTGTGAAAAGAGTCATTAGATGCCCCCCCCCCAAAGGTAGTCATGACCCACAGGTTGAGGAATGACGTTTTAGGGATTCTGACCCTGCCTTATGGCATCAAGCCTCGGATTCTCTCCATGATCCCTTCAAGCCTAAAGCCTCTATTACAGCTGAGGCTATACTTCTACCAATGGCCTTCTGACGTCTCTGAAGGGACTCCAGTACTGCCACAGGTTGTTCTCTTAAGTCCCCTACACCCTCAAACCAGGACCGCAAGGGAGATCTCCACACCTTACTGAGTTTGACTGACAGCTCCCCGCCTTGCTTCCCCCTTCCCCCCAGCCGTGGCCTCCTGGACTACAGCTTCTGAGTGCCGCCCCCACCTTCTAGAAGATGTGTTTCCAGAATAAATCACAGCTGACTTTTCTGTCCCAGAGAACCAGGAACCAGAGACTTGCAATTTTAAAGCCTCAACGAGAAGGAATGGTCCTGCTAGAGTTTCTGAGAGACTCTCCACCTCTCCTCAGGTACCTGTAAGCTGGGTCTCCATCTTGTACGGTGCTCTCAGCATTATCCTCCGGTCTCTCACAACGGCAGCCCAGCAAACCATCAGTACTCAACGGCTCCTTCAGCCCAAAGCACCCAAATCCCTTCACAATATGGTCGGCAAGATGCAGCTCTCTGATTCCATCCCTCGTTTGTTTTCTGTTGCTGGAATGAGTACCATAACGAAAATCAACTTAGATGGGGGAAAGGGTTCATTTGGCTCCCAGTTCACACAGTCCGTCAGGATGGGGAGCTAGGGCAGGAACTCTAACCTCTAATGGTGCAGAAACTGAAGCAGGGGCCACGGAGGAACGCGACTTGCTGCTTCCGGACTTGCTCAGTGTATTTTCTTAACAACCCAGGACCACCCACCTAAGGGATGACACCGCCCACAGTGGGCTGGGCCCTCCCCACATCAATCAACAATCAAGAAAATGCCCCACAGACTTGCCCACGTGCCAATCTGATGGAGGCAGATCAATCTCTCTCAGC